CTATTCTAGTTTTTATTCCTGATATACTGGCACCGAATGAGCCTTAAATACATCTTTCTTTTACAATGTATCCCCCCTTATGACCACCCGTTTGCTTTCGCCTTTGTAATTAACAAATTCTCCTCTTCTTCACCGCATTTGCGACGGTACCCTGACCGTTATGCTAATTGTTACAAAAGAATACTAGTTGAGTATGCGATCTTTTCTTGGGGTAGTGATTCGTGATTCTGAATTGAAATTACAGTGTTCTCGTGATATTTAAATATATAAAACGTAATGTTCTATAAAAAACCATGCGCGGGTTTCGAAATAATTTTGGGTGGTTTCGATTTTTAAGTCGGTATGCAATGTTCTGTTCGTTATAAACAAAGGAGTGTTAGCCATTTGCCTAAAAACTATATTTTGCAAAATTTGAATTTGTAGAGATCTGTTATACAGATCCTCTTTACCTAATAACAGAGATATTCCTTTATTATTATTTATTTTCTTTTCGCATGTTGAAATGATAGATTTCTGGTAAAATTCAGACTATTTTTATGCTCAAATAAATAATTATTATTTTATGTCGAAGTGCACAAAATTTTCCGTAAAACTAACATTATTCTAAAGTTAATAAATAAATTTATTTTTCACCTACCTATTGCAAGCAAAATTGTTATTTACAATACAAAAAAAAAATCAGCTATAATATCTAAATGTTTGAATAAAATAAATATACATGCACAAAACAGATACGTACAATAATAACAGATTGTAGAAAAAACAATAAAATATTCTAAGGTACATAACATAACTTGGCATGGGTCCAGTCCTTGAGCACTGATCTTTTGGCGTATTTCCATCATCTTTGGATATAGGTGACATTGGGATATCACCAGTCTTTTGAAGTTAAGATCTAGATTGGTAGCTCTCCAGATGTGCAGATCACTTGTAAGAGGGCAGAAGAATAGTTAATGGTCTGCATCTCCTTTGACTCCACAGACGCAGTTGTCGCTATTAGAGAGGTTCGTTTTGAGAAAATAATATGGATATGGGCCATGACCGTAAGGTAATTTATTAGAAAGGTCTTAGAGTTTCTGATGTCTACGCTGATATTTGGAAAGGACTAGTTGAGTGCACCTGCTTGTTTTGGCGTTATTTTTCCTTTCTTGTTACCCGTGGCTTAAAATTTGTTTAGGATCTGCCGTAGTTGCGATTTCGGATGCTTGAAGTTGAGGAACTCAACTCGTCTTCTTGGAAAAGAGCTATTGAAACATGCCCGATTTGTGAGCTTTCCTAAGATTTAACACAGTCTTGCCTAAGTAACATTTTCTCCCCAAAATTTTAATCGCCTGAAGAAAATAAGAGAACAGATATTTGGGGAACCTCAACATATTGTTTTCTTATTTCTTGTGATCCAATAGACTGCGTAAGTGAAACAAATGCACGAAAGTAATCCGTTTCTGAATTTGATCTTCAGACTTTTCAAAAACTGACTGGATACCGTCAGTGATTTTTTTTTTTTTTTTCATATGCAATCATAGGAAACTACTTCTACTTAAAACATTCTCTCAGAAGTCCAGGAATCCAAATCATACATTGGTCAAAATTCAGGAAAAATCCTATCATCGAGTGCTGGTGCAGCAAGGGGGAAATTAGCATCCAACCTGAGATGCTAAAAATTCTCCTAATCAGAACATTCCAGAAATGTGTATGGAAAGGCTTATAGCATGATGATCATGTTTTTCCCGCTGCTCAAAAGCGATAAACTCGCATTAAATGTGAAGAGGAGACTTTACCTCTCAATCATAAGAATGCTTCTTCAGTCTGGGCAAACGCCAGCGAAAAGGTTCTCCAAAGCAAGGCTCTAAGGATCATCACAAACGCTCTCTATTTCATTCGAAATAGAAGCCCGCATTCAGATTTGAAGATGGAATCTAGTAAAGAATTCATCACCAGGATAAATGAAAATTCCCTCAACAGATTTATAACGAACAACCCCGCAAACTTCGCTGCCATTCTGACGTATGAGATTCTGGAGGAGGATATACTTATTAGACCTTATACTGCTTATTTGCTTCACTCAAATCCATGTGACCACGATAACTAGTGACAACACAATAGTTCTGTGCGCTCACAAATTTTCTTGAAATTTGTGCTTCTTCAAATTTGCAACTCTAAAAGACTATTTCACGTCTCCCTCATATGGAATGTAATTTTCAGTGCATTTTGAGTGGTCGTTGTATATAAGTTGCAAATAATCACCCCCTCCCCATCTCAGGATTCGACGAAGGAAACCCACCTGACTAGCTTCCAAGCCTCCGGTCTGCATTTAAGAGACAAAGGGCTCCAAACTTCTTCCCCGACAAATTTTTCTCATAGAGCATACACTGGTGTGCAAAAATTAAGGACGAAGTCGAAAAATTAGCATATCAGCTGAACGAAGAGGCAGAGCGGACAGAAAGACCAATCAGGAGATTAAGTAAAGTGATGTACGGTAGCACACATGCGCAGATATGCAGGTTAGACGTAATGGGGAGTGTCTGAGTAGTATAAAGCATGTTGTCGGTGTAAGATCAGTATTTCTGGCAAAGAGATTGCACGCCGTATAGCAGTTAAAATCACACCGAGTTGCTGCCTCAGCGAGAAATGGCGAATAATCAATCTGTTAGACGGCATCTGGATGCTTTTACCCGAGGTCGAATCATTGGGAAGTTGGAGGAAGGCCGCAGTGTGATGTGGCTGCAGAGTTCGGAATTGCTCACAGCATCGTTTCACGACTTTGGAGACAATTTCAAACTACAGGAACAGCTTTCCGGGGGTTTAGTAGTGGTCCCGCAGATGACCGGTATATTGCCTTACAGGCCAGAAGAAACAGGCGGCAGGCAGCGGGAGAAATCGCTAGACACACGACACAGGCGACTGGACGACCGATATCGCGTTGTACTGTGGCCAGAAGACTGCACGGTGGTGGTCTGTTTGCACGACGCCCTGTACGGTGTGTACCTCTAACGCCTGCCCATCGGAGAAGGCGTTCTCTGTGGTGCCGGGAACAGCGGAATTGGAGAGACAATGAATGGAGACGAGTACTGTTTACAGATAAGAGCAGATTCAGTCTGAGTAGCCATTCTCATCGCATACTCATCTGGAGAGAGCGGGGAAGCCGCAATCATCCCTCGAACATCATTGAAAGGGATGGGTATGGAGGTGGTGTTCTCGTTTGGGGAGGCATCATGCTTGGTAGTCGTACAGACCTTCACATCTTCGAATCTTCGACGCAGGTTCAGTCAACGGGACCCGTTATTGTAACGAGATTCTTCTTCCATATGTTCGTCTTTTTAGAGGCGCTATGGGTCCGCTGTTCCTTTTAATGGACGACAATGCACCATGTCATCGCACAGTAGCTGCCGAACAGCTCTTAGAAAGCAAGGATATTGAACGTATGGATTGGCCGGCACGATCTCCGGATCTCAATCCCATCGAGCATGTATGGGATTTTCTAGGCAGACGCTTGGCAACTCGTACCTTACCACCAGTAACGATTCCGGAGCTTCGATTGGCGCTGCAAGACGAATGGGCAGCAATGCCTCAACAACTCATTGACACCCTCATTGTCAGCATGGGCAGACGCTGTGAAACCTGCCTAGCAGTCAGGGGAACCTGCCCTATTAAAGACCGGATGTTTCTTGCTGGACACCCATCACAGGGATGTTTTGGCCTTCAGTCGCATTGCTCTCCATGCTACTTTTTCAATAAAGCTTCTTTTTATCCCTCTGATTTCTCTTTTAGTAAGTGTTGCTTACATTACGGTATTAAATGGTCTTATCTTCCGGTATTAAATGTGTTGATTTGGAAAGCTTTTGTACAAAGTTATATTGAAAAAACCGTCTTGTCCTTAATTTTTGCACACCAGTGTATATTTAATTGCGGATTTCAGAAAGGTCAGGCTCTAAACGTGAATCTCTAAGGTAGAACAGGGAAAAATATGTCTTGCTGTAAGCCAATATACCGACGAAAGTATCAAACTTTCTTGAGTGAAAGAGTGCTTCTGACATTTGCGCGCTAACAGCACGAATTAAAACAGCACGATTTTAACATGATTAAAATCGTGCTGTTTTAATTATAAAGTTTTAATTCCTGATTTTAATATATGAGGAATGTTTTCTTAATGTTAATTAAACTTAAATTAAAATATTATTTAAAATATATGCATTTTATTTAAATACCTTCTGAAATCAAAACTTTTTTTAGAGAGAAAAGTCCATATATATACCGAAAAAATTTTATCTCCTACCCCACACCATGTCATGGATCATTTCAGAAGTTAAGGTTAAAAAATTCTATTCACAAATGAAAATTAAAGTCATTCTTTTTAACCGCCAAAGAAAATTTTGTTGATTTTATAATACTTTAAAAATACTCGAAAGCTTCTATAGGATCTTTTATAGAAAATTTAAGCAAGGAAGCTAATTTAGGATCCTTTAGAATGATATAAACTGCATCTAATATTTTCAACAAAATTCTATTAGTTAATTTAATATATGCAGATTGAATATATATAATTCTATTAGTTGATAAAATATATATAGCACATTATAGAATATTCTATAGATGAGACTTTTATAAACTCTGAAAGCATTTTTATAGAATTTTTGAACAAATCTGTATAGAAGGTATATACATATTTGTTGATAAAATCGCTATGCATGCTTCTAGAGAAATTAAATCTAAAATGTTAGAGAATTCTATAGAAAATTTCTGACCTAGTTTATAGAAATCAGAGCCTTAATTCTATGGAGTTTTTCATGGAATTCTAAAAGACATTTTCGTGAAAGAAGTAGGTTTGAAGTTATACATACAGTTTTAATTTTATGCATTTAACAGTGACTGCGTTTGTATCCTTGAAAGTTACACGCTTTACTAATTTGAGCAGACATGCTGCTGTAGCAACAACAATGCGTCTACAGTTCAGAAACGCAGCGTAAAATGAAACCCTGTCACGTGACATGCGTAATGACAAGGTCTTATCAATTTTTCTCTGTTGGCGAGAGTAAGTGGGCGTACATCTGGGAATCTTAATTTGATTATTAGCTTGAGTCTTCTCTTCTTTTTTACGCGATCTCGCCGGTAAGTTGATTTCAAACATAGATTCATAATTTGAAGACATAATGTAATAATGTTAATGTTGAAGATGTAATGTAATAATTTGAAGATGTAATATATATAGATAGTGAATATGGAATTTTGTTTTAACTATTTCCAATAAAAACATTTTAAAAGTTTGCGTTTTGATGTTAAATATTGACCTACCATTATTATGAAGGAAAATTAATTTTTGCTTTTGTGAAGCAGGGTCCTGCAGCACATTTGATCGTATAAATTTTATACACCTGCTGCTGTTATATTAATCAGTATGTAAAAAATATTGAAAGCTTCTCTTTTATGTAAATTTAATTTTAATTGGAAATCTGTACTCTAAAACTAAACAATACTTTTATAAAATAAATTTTAGGAGCGGATAATGGTTCATATCAAATGTTTAAAACAGTTAGCATTACATATACGTATGTGCAGGCATTAAATATAAAATCCGGCTTATGTTAGCTTTTCTAACAAGTGAAATGAATTAAACTTTAACGAAAAATTTTTCACTCAAAGCTTGCTTCTTAGAAGAGATAAAGTACTTATATTTTGTCAACTAACTTAACATTTTTTTAAATTAATAATTCCCTTTATTTTTAATTCAAAACAGGAATTTAGTTACACATATTAATGCGGAATAAAATGGATTGCATTATGTTTTTGAAATCATTCTAGTATCATAGCTGTTCTGTATTTTTGAAATATTCTGATATCATTGCTCTTCTGTTTTATGCAATCAAGGCTCCTGTAATACAAGATAAGATAACTCCTGTAAGAGTATAGATGCATTCGTGAAGGACTTCCTAAGAGAAACTGGCTGGTATTTACGTTACATACGAGGAAGGAAAATTAATTTTCCTTCCAAACCAACGATGCAGCCAGCCTGTTAGCCTGCGTTCGAACCCACTGCGGGCCAGACTACCAGTATTCAGCGATCATAACCACCTGCCTACTAGTAGGGGCACTTGAGTTTTTCTTGCGAAAGAACTGGCTACAAGCGATTTTCATGGTTTTTTTCGTGTGTACAGGAAATACGATTGCCTTATTTGATCATGGCAAAGCATGCGAAAGTTATCTGCTTAAGGAGGGATGCCTTCTTGGAAGCTTTTCTATCCGCGTTATACACGGGGAAAGCACGAAAACGATCATGTAGCCAGCCAATTATAATAGAATCGAACCTAGGTCAAACTACCAGTTGTCAGGGACTTTACTTCTCCATCGCCATGAAACACGAAAGATTTTTCTTTAGAAAATCCTTTACTGAGACTTCTCTTTTAAAGCCTATCATCATCGGATGTGTCATAAATTAGCCAAAAAAAAATATGTTAAAATTAAATCTTATTTACTATTGTAAGTCTTTTGATTTACTCCTTGAAGAATTAAGTAATGTATGAGGTCTACTAGTGTGAGGCATTGGAGCCCTATAATGTGAGCGAGGACGCCAACGGCGAAGAAAAACAGCAAAACGGTTTAAAAGGATTACACGGAACGCTTATTGTACTGTATTTCAAAACGGATTCAGCGGAACCCGCTGAATGGTTTCAAAATAAAACAAAAGTCTTATTAGATTTGTGATATATGTGAAGGTATAGTTGTTGTGTTGTACTACTGTCAATAAAAACGTTTAAAAAATACAAGTTTATTTGATGTTTGACGCCAAATAACAGATGAAAAGAACTCACAATCATCGGTCACGACACCTAGCATATTCGAATGATTTTGCTCAACTATTCTTTGGATGTTATAATTATGCTATTTTGTATACTGCCTGACTTCATCGTAGAGCTTAAATTATTCATTCCCGAATTAATTAAGCTTCGTAGAAAATTGCTGAAATTAATACAGTTTACTGCTGAGGCTAGGAATATTTTCAAAATGGGAATTCTCTTTTAAAAATTGAGGATGTTCGATTATTTTTAAAAAATCATGCACTTGATCACTATACCAATATGCTTATTTAATATATTATATACTTGACTATTTTTTATGCAATGCGATTCTCAAATACTTTACTATTATTGATTATACTTAAATATACTGTCTTGATTTCTGTATATCCAGATAAATTTATAAAAAGGCTTACTGATAAGTCTAAAATCTTCGTAGGATTCCTAAAATTCCTTCTGTCCATTCCTGCCCTTTAATAACTCACTGGTGGTCTCGTCCGTAAGATTTTGGCCACTAGCCTAAGAATGACCGAGTGGTAAAATCGCTGAAAATGGGTAATTCGATCCGGCTTCCATTCCCGACGAAACGCTGCCTACGTGCGAGTTTTCATAGTTTTCCTCGAACGTAACATAAATAACAGGCGTAGGTAATTCCCCGCTCAGCGGCGGCAAAGCGGCAAAGTCACTGAACACTGTTAGTTTGACCTGGCTTCAAATCTCGGGGAAACGGGCTGGTTGCATGGGCGTTTTCGTTGCTTTTCCCAGGGCGTGCTCCACGAAGGAATCAATCTCTTTAGACAGAAAATCCTCGCTCGCTTTGCCGTAATCAAACCAAATGAACCCGAAAAAAATTCCCCCTCTAAATTAGGTTAGGATATCTGAATATAATATGGGAAAGGACACGAGGGTTATCTGCATAAGGGGAGAGATGCGTTCGGGGAGAACTTTCGAAAGAAAACTGGTTTGTATTCACGTTACATATGGGGGGGAATCATAAAAATCAACCACTTAGCCAGTTCATTCCCCTGGCCTCGAACCCGGGACGAGCTACCAGTATTCAGCCGCTCGGTCAATGTAAGGCCCTCGTCCACAGAGGCATACCTACTTCCTCAGGCAGAGAACTTTAGTTTACTTTGCTGCAATTGAAATAATTCAATCAACTGATCATTGGTGAGGCTTGGCCACTGGCGAGATTTTCAGTTTCAGATCTCAACAAGCGAATGAACTGGTTCACCGCAACTGAGATAGATAATGTTTGAGCCAAATGTTTGAGCACCGTAACGAAACGAGTTTGTGACGTCACGGCTGAGTGACCTTCGAATAGCCCCTTGAAAACCTTGCCCTTGGGAACTTGGGGCAAAAGATATATTATTTGCTTGGGGATCGGGGAGTGGTATCTTCTAAAGATTTCCATTGCTTCTAACAGTTGTTTGTCGTCTATTGTAACGTGCATCTGAGTTAGCATTCCTAAATTTTATATCTGTGAGTAATATTTACCTAATATATTTATTGTTATTTATCTGATGGAATTTTAAAGTATGAGATTTTTCATCGAATATAAAATAATTCCATATGTAAAGTAAGGCATCTAATGTTAATCATTCCTGAATACTGGGAAACTAATGGCGACAGTCTGCTTTCTTTCTGTAAGAATTTTTCAGAAGGCAGTAAATCTTTTTTCTTTTTTCCCGTATTCTATGTATACTTGAAATTAATTAGCATTCGTTTTTAAATTGATTTCCATAAAAAATTATTTATTCTCTAGTACCTTTGAAAATAATTTTATATTACTTGCCTACATTTTAAACTGCATTACATATAAATTTATTTAAAAAGAAAATAGTTTATTTTAGTATAAATACATACAAAGAAGTAATGATTTTAATGATTAATATTTATGCAATTCATTAAATCTTCTTAGTTTTCTAATGGTGATGTTTTTGTGTATATAATTATTATGCGTACTAAATTTCTGCAATTTTTAATTTGTTTAGTATTTATCACGTAAGCATTCCTATTCCTACACTAGAAATATATCCAGTGTTGCCGGTTTTATTTTGAAAGGGGGGGGGAATTGAGTTATTTGAGGCATTACATTTGTTGCACATAATTAGTTTTAAAATTTCGGCTTTCGAAAAATATCTATCAAAATTAATTTATGTTCTTAGTTTTATTATGTAATATACTCGTACATTATGAGGAGACATTGGAAAACGATTGCCTTATTTTGAATACGAAATTTTATATACGGTGAAAAAATATATATTATATATAATAGAACATTCATTTGACAAACTGACATAAACTGAGGATATTAAATATAAATAAATATTACGAGGTTGTTATTATACATTATTTTTATTAGTAATAAATATAAGTATTATGAGGGTATTAAATATAAGTGTGAAAATTAATTAAACCGCTTTATAATACAGCTAAAAATTAGATTTTTCATAAAAAAAAAATTATTCATGAAAGTAAAAATTTTTTTAAGTTTCGTATACAAGTACTGCATAGAATAAAAAATTTTTTCACTGTACCAAACATTGAGAAGAATTTTTTTAACTATATAAATTTTAAACAACTGCCTTTGTAATGTTCATTATTAATCAGTTTTTGTTTTGTGATATGTTCAAATAATTAATATGTAAGGATTATATTAATTTATCTAACAGTTAATTTTGAATTAAAGTTACTGTCCTATCGCTTCTTAATTTCAAGCTTACAACTTCCGGCCAGAGCGTAGTTTTAGAATCCCGATTGAACGCAAATGAGGAGAAGCATATTTTAACTCTGAAGTTCTACTGATTTCGTTAGAGAGAACCAGTGATTCTGACTAGCGCACGTTCTCTTTTTTAGGCTACTCTCTCTTAAGCTATTATTACGCTCGGCCGGACTTTAAGCCCTTCATAGCTTCGCCGTTAATTAGCGTTAAGGAACCAACTTTGTTAGAATCTTGATAGTTTCGGCTATATCTTTTTAGTTAAGATTAAGTTTAATTTCTCAGTTTCTTGAGTTCAAGCCCGAGTGAAGGCTTTATTGTAAAACTTCAAGAAGGAGTTCTGTGAAATTAATATGGAATAATAAAGGGTATTTAACCCTTTTCAAATTTTATTTTCTGTCTCACGAACTCAAGCGATCTTACAAATTAGAACCTTACAAATTATATTGTTGCTTTTGAAGTATAAACAAAATTGCATGTCATAAAAACATGCCTTTAAGTTTTTCAAAATCAAAACTTTAAATAAGAAAAATGATGCTCATTTGTTAATATTATCTCAGGTAATATTATTTTCGATATACGTCTCTTGAAACTAATTTGTACTGTACATGTTAAATATTTTTATTACTTACACTGTGGATTTTTTAAAAAATATTCGCGTGTCAAACAGTTCAAAAATCGAAGACAGTTTTACAAAGAAAATGAACATGAATAACATATTTGATTTAAATATGTATATTCGTTTAACACAAGAAGAATTAGAAGGAGAATTACAGCTAATTAAGACCTTTTTCTTAATACCTTTTCTCTCACATTTTACATCATCTAAGATCTATTTAAAAATTCAAAAATTATAACGCTTATAATTTTAAGGTGTAATTAAATTTCAACTAAATCCGACGTACATGTCGGATTTAATATGATTCTGACATATGTATTAAACTATCTTTAAAACTCATTGATTGCCTGCTTATCATGGCGATACAGTAAAACGACTAAATGATAAATTAAAAATGTTGCTAAATTTTTAATTAAATTTGATGTAATATTTTTTACAATTTATTTATTCCGTTGATATGAATATTAATAATAAGATTTTTTTAGTATAAAGCAATGTTTATAATCAAATTGGTGCAATGGAACTGTTTCTCAAAAAATTCAGTTTTTAAATTAATTTTAATTCAGCCATAAATCATTATGAAAAAGTATACTGTCGCAAATGCAATTATATTTAGTTGTTCATAAATATTTTCTCCCTTCAAATGAAATATTTGATGAAATTAGATTATACAGCATAATTTTTTAATATTTAGTCATATTCATCCGAATTTTAACAACTCTGTACGGTAATAGAATAAACTACACATTATGTCCTTAAAAATCTTTACCCGTCCTTTATTTTCCCAATTGTTGGTCCTTGTTGGTTGTTATTTTCTTCCAGTTCCAAAAATGTTTCACATGACCAAAAGATTCATGTTTTCACGGTGTTTGTAAATGAAAACAAATTAATTTTATGTAAAATACGAAATTTAACTTTTCTATATATTCCTCCAGTCTCTGTACTTATATTCAGTAAAGTTTTGTATTCGCTTCCTTATACCACATGACCGTTATGAAGACTTTTGTTTTTTTCGAACAGCGGCCAACTTGTATAAAGGAGCGCTCTTCAGAACACACTATTTCATATTCATGGTTGACATGGGAAAATCCATGAAAGTGTCCTGCAATATCACTACTACAGTCAAAAGTCGTTAATCCGGACTCGTCGGGACTTAGGCGATTCCGGATTATCGATTTTTCCGGATTATAGATCATCAGTTTAAATCTCGTAAGATGGCATGCAGAAATTGTAAAATTAAAAATATGAAACCTGTAATTTATGAAATAAAGAACAATTATGATCTAAAGTGTATCAAAATTTGCAAAAAGAAAAAGCTTAATATTTATTTGTTTACTTTATTAAACATTTCTTTCAATGTAAGTTGTTTAAGTTTTGCTTCGTTTCATGTGATAATACTTTCTCTTTAATTCTATTAAACAGACATAATTTCTTGTTCAGTTTACAAAATTCCGCTGTTCAAGTCCTATAATTGCTGTGTCAAGAACACCGACTAATTTTGTCAATCGAAATTTTTTCGTTATCAATAACCTCTGTTACTTTTTTCGCTATCGGAAGCGAATTATAATGACCAGGAACTTGTTTTAAATCATATCAAAGACGGAGTATATCGAGATGAAATACTACATTTGGTAAGGAATTATAAGCCAAATAAAACATCTGCCGCTGAAGATAAGGATAGTGCTGACAGATCAACTTCCAATTCATTACGCGCCCGCCGCGGCGCGGCGTTCCCCCCGCCGAGCAGCCTGAAATTGATAAACAGATTTCGGATTTCAAAACATACTTTCGCTTTTAGATCCTTTACATATTAACAAATATATATCGAAAATTCTATTTGATATAATCGAAAGTTTAAGCTTACTTTTATAAAATTGCTCTTACAGTCTGCAAAAAATAATAAGCCGGATCCAATTCGAAAATTAAGGAACAACGCAATCATCAACATTAACAGAAATAGATAATTAGATAATTTTAGCTTATACGTCCATTATACATAAAACGCGCACGCGAAAACGTATTCTGTACTTGCGCAGTCGTAAAAGCTGATATGCGCAGTCGTAAAAGGTCTTACGCGCACGCGTAAACGCCTATGCGCATGTGTCAACGCGGCGCATGCGCAGAAAGTTTTTAGTTTTGATGTCCGGATTATAGATCATTCCGAATTATGGGTGTCCGAATTAACGACTTTTGACTGTACTGAGATAGATGCGGCCTAAGCGTTGAGTAACTACGTTACGGCTCAGCAGATCGTGATCGACTAAGCAGGAGAATTAACTCGCGATTTCCGCCAACCTAAGTATGGTTTTCTCAATCAGTGCATTGCAATTGATGCTTCAAATCATGAATTTAACTTAAAGCGGTCATCTTTCCAATTATTACATAATAATGTGCAAAAATTTATAAAAATTTGCGCAGTCATATAATGTAATGTATGCTTAAAGAATTTAGGAGGGAAAAACTCTGGAATTAAACTTCTGAGATCAAAATGTTTTTCCTTGAAGTACGACAATATTTCATTTTGCTGAATTGACAATACACTTCTTTTATATCTGAGTTTCTGATTAAATTTGATATATAAATATCTGAAGCTTTACCATGCATCAACACAGTTCTTTTAAACCTTTGCATTTTGCAAAAGCTCTTTGAATTTTCACGAATTAAGAAATAAACAAATTCGAAACTAAAAATCTTTTAGGTGCACATGTCTGAGCGGAAGACTATGCGTGTTCAAAATTCGGTGGCTCTAGTTAACGACGTTTTTGCACAATGCGATTAAATTCGAAAGACAAATATATTATGTTTCGCCGAGTGACAACGCAATTCTTTTAAACGTTGAGTTTTCTAGACTAAATTTGAAAGCTCTTAGGTCTTTTAGACTTGTAACACAAAGCTTTTAAATCGCTGAGCTTTTAATCAAAAATTCTTTAAATCTCCGCAAATACGAAATTAATAAGAAGAAAAATTTTTGAATTTCGATAAAAATTCAAAATTTGTGCTTCGAAGTGCACATGTTCGAGTGGAAAACTATGTGTGTTCTAGACGTCGCAATTTTTCCTCAATGCTAGGAACATACACACGTACATGTATACAGATTTTTCATTATTTATTAGAGTTTAGAATAAGAAGAATTTATCAAATCTTTTTGCAAATACATTGCTATGCATTATTAATATGTATATAAATTTATTTTAATATTTGCATAAATAAACCCATGCAAATAAAGTGGTTTTTATAATCCTTTTCGAAAAGTGCTTTCAAATTTGTACAGTTGCTAAACTGGAGAATTTTATTATATACATTTTCATTATTAGAATCAGTATGGCTCAGAAACCAGCAACGTATAAAAAATTAGTAGTCCAGAAGCTTACTTCAAACTTCCGCGAAGCTGTTACTATAGAAACAGTAAATATATGCCACCCTGAAAAAGGTGAAATATGCATCAAAAACAAGTAAGTATCTGCTTTATTATTAACTGAAAACAGTTTCGTAAAAAACTATTGTTACCGAGGAGAATTCAAATTTTCAAATATGCAAATCGTTTTCAGTACATTATTTCAAATCTGCTTAATATGATAAGTATTTAATACTTTTTACTTTAATCATTGGGCTTATTTTCAGCACCCGATTTATTTATTAAAAAAAAAAAGAAACTTATCAATTTGAAATAAGGAGTCCAGTTTAGGTTATATCAGAAAAATATGTATTTCCAGGGAAACTATCACGCGTTCCTTTCCTTCAAGGATTAAAATTAAATAAATAAATAAAAATTTCTTTTTAGAGAAGAGAACTTTTTCACGAAGTGGGTAGATTTTTTCTTAGTCTAAAGCTGAGTTTTGCTTAGTTTTAAATGGATTTTTTGCATTTTTCAGTTATTGGCGCAACAGATCCATTTGTTTGCTTAATGGAAACGTTATATGTAAAAATAGTCTTCTAAATAATTTAATGCAACTAATGCGTGTAGTCTATTTTATATTGACACTTGTAAAAATATATCACATTTGTTTAACTAGCCGCCTAAAATAATTTTTATAAAAAAATCTGTTGTGGACACCATATGATTTCCTTGAATGCCTATTAAGTTATGCAGAGTTTTTGCTGCACTTCACTTAAACTTATTTTCTTGAGTTATTCTAAATTAATCGATCCCTGAACGCAAGAGTCCGCCACCGGACAAGGGGTAAAATCGCTGCTAACTGCTAGTTCCGACCTGGATTCGACTTCAGGCGAACGGGCTGGCTGCATGTTTTCGTGGTTTTTCCCAAGTGTAACGCGTATACAAGCAAGTTTCCTTAAACGTGTGCTTTGCCGTAATTAACTATATGAAAACAAATCCTCAAGGCAAGTTGCAAGTTTTGAAATTAAATATCCCGAAGAAATGCAGTTTTTGTCGCATGGGAGTCCGAAATATATATATATATATATTGTGTATAAAACTTTTCCAACTATAATATAGAAACCGGGAGACTGCATAAAAAGTTAGATTTCGTTATTTGTCCAAAATTGTTTTGGTACTATTCGGTTTCAAGGGCCGTAAAAAAAATTGCAGCGAAAATGTATGCGCAAACGCGCCAAATCTAGCAAAAGCGCCCATTTAACAACGCGCCAAAATCTAGCGTACGCGCTGATTTCAGATTACGTAAGTTTGTATAGTTCTATATTTCTTAAGACGCCATTGAAATACTAGTTTAATTTTTAAATCCTTTTTTGATTTTAAATCCTTTTTTGATATCTTATGGATTTAACAATTTGGGAATTGCCCATGACGAAAAGTCGGCAATAAAATTTTTGGTAAAGTGCAGAATCACCCACTGCTTGACGCGTTTTTAAGAATTGCACATCGACCTATTTTCACTTGAAAAAAAAATCCTAGAATTGCACAAAAATGGCACTGCGCACACCCTTAACTTTATCTATGTACACGTCGACCTATTTTCACTTAAAAAGTAAAAGAAAATTGACAAAAATCCAATTGTTTTTTAACTTGTAAAAAGCGGCAAACAAATAAGTGAGCGATTCTGCACTTTACCGAGAACATTTTCAAAGAAACGGCATCATTCATTATAGAAAATTACGTTTGAACAACCAACGAGATGAAATTATGCTTTAGCGATAAGTCGGTAGCGAAATAGCGATGCAGGCATCCATTCAGTTAAGTTTAGCAATTTTTATATAAATTATAATAATGATCTGAAATAGTTATTTACTCTTATGCTTCCATTCAGTCATGTTTAGCCTTTTTCATATAAATTATAATAATAAAAAAGTATTATATCAAATTAAGCTTTCATCTAAATTAAAAGATCAATCTTAAATAGTTATTTATTATTATACTTCCTTTCTTGCCGCAATTATTAGGGTTGCTGCAATTATTTTTGGCAGCATTGGCATCAGCAAAAGTTTGGCGATTTTTTACGGCCCTCGAAACCGAATAGTACCATTGTGGTTACTTATAAATTATCAAAACATGAATATTTTCATCTTTTAAAACATTTCTCTAGTGGGAGGTATATGTCTATTACCAACGATTGCGAAAATAAAGGCCAGGTAAGGACTTTTAAGCCAGATAAGAAGGTGCGGAAATATAAATATGTATACATATATATATGTAGATACACACTTTCGATGCGATTGCAGCAAAGAGGAGAATTGCAGAACTAGAAGTTATATATACAAAATTTCAACGTTCTACGTTTAATTGGTTTTGAGTTATGCGAGATATATACGTACATTGGTACCGACGTCACGAAACAATTTTGAAAAAAAAATTTTAATTTTAAATCCGATTTGAATCGATTTTATAATCCGTTTAGAATAAAGAGTTTTTTTTTCCATCCGCATGTTCAGATGTCATGCAAAAAGCAGTTAAAATGGATTCGGAAACAGTCAAAATGGATGCTCCTGTTGAAATCCGAAAATCGAAAATTTTAGCAATTACACTGCTTTCTTTACTTTGTAAGAACTTCTTTACTTTGTTTTTACAAGAAAGTAAAAAGAGAAAAATATAGGATGATTTTATGAAATTTTGCGAGTCCAGTCGTAATTAATAGTAATTACAATGAATGTGCTTTCGTGGCTTTTAAGTTATTTAATTTAACAAAGGAATAAATTTGAAAGAGAAATTAAATATTACCTTACTCTTTGTTGAACGACAACACATTGCCGCGTAGAAGATAAAGATATTTTAATTCGGACAGTGGTAATCCATTTCTTTTTAACCGTTGGGTTTGTGGATTAACACTGAAAGAATTATCGCGAAATTATTCGTTTTGCCTATTAGCAAAACAGAACTTTTAAGCTATCGAAATTTTAATCAGAAGTTCCTTGAGTTCACACAAAATACGAAATAAATTGCAAACAATTTCGAAATTTAAAATTCGGGCTTCGTAGTGCACATATTCGAGTGGAAGACAATGTGTGTTCAAAATGGGTGGCTGTAGATACTGCCGTTTTCCCACAATGCAAGGAACATGCATGCATAAAGATTTCTCATTGTTTAACAGCAAAGTGGAGTTGGCGCGCACTATTTATGCGTCATTACCTGGAACTAAACTGAAATTTTCTGAAATGTGAATATCTCCATATAGATAAACATCTACTATTTTGTGAATTCTACTTACTGTATTTTAGATAGACTTACAGAGCAAATCAAGGAAAAATATTTCCATGTATTTAAAAGAAATGTTTTTCACTTTTAGCTTAGGATGCAGTTACTTACATTCAATATTCACCTGTGTATTTTCTGCAATTTTAGTTAATACTTACGATTGAAGTTTCCTGACACCATTAGGCTATTCACAATAGCAGCGCGTTTCGAAGATGTTTATTGAATTCTAAATATTTCTTGAAAAACAAAAAGAATAACATATTTATAGATAACGAAATGTCACCCACAAGAAAAATTTATTGGAAGTTATTTTCGATAAAATCAAGGAAAAAATTTCAATTTATTAATTTTCTATTATTCTACCTTTGAAAAACTTTAAAATTCTGTGATAACGTTACTTCTATTAAAAACGTTTTTAAATTTGTAAACTTGCGTTAAAGTTTTTAAATTTGTAAACTTTAATAGTTTTGAAAAACTTTAGATAGAACTAATTCGCCCACTCAGTAAACATTGATTCATTTTTGCAGAAGAAGAATTTTTTAAAATTAAGACACTAAAAAAAGGATGAGATTTACGAAATAATTCATCCGATAACTTTTCATTTATGTTAACTCTTATCAAAGTAAACAGTATTACACCTAGAAATCATTCAGAATAGTCTACACTTATTCATGTATTCATAGTTTCATCAGTGGCTTTGTGGTTAAGATCGCTTAATACTAGGACTTCTATCTGAGTGGTGCTATCCCAGGTTCATCAATCTTTGAAAGCAACTTTAGTCGACGTGCTTCTACCTTTATTTCAGAATATCGTCATTAAGAGGCTTGGTGAAAATGCATTCACCATTATGAAGTTCAATTTATAACTTGTAGAAAGCCGCTTGCGTCAAGGTGCTGGCACCTGTATGATAGCTTCTGCCTTGGCGAACAACGCCATCATGCTTCAAAGTACTGGCATCTTTAGCGACAAGCCGGAACTATAAGCCATACGCACTTCAGAAAATTTCTCGAATTCCGAATAGTTCCTTCCACTCCTGATTGAAATACGCTCATGTCCATAAATTAAGGATAATTCGGAGTCACTCGGAAATCGAACTCTAAAATAAATATATCACCTGTAAAATCACTACACACATCTTAAAGAATTATACGCAAATTTAAGGAAGTAACCAGATGACACCGATGGTACGTCACAATGACGAGAGTGTAAGAGAGTGATATATTAGGAATAGAGGCAAAGAAGTAAAATTATTCGCAGGCGCTTCATAAGCATTTCAGTGCAATAACCGAATAGTTATGACACAAAGGACGCATTTGGATGATTTTTTACGTAGTAGAATTATCGGCCGTCTGGAATGTGGGCGTACCCACCTGGAAGTATCAGACGAACTTGGAATTGTCCAGAGTGTCATCTCCAGGCTTTGTTGACGATTTCAAGATGATGGTAATGTGAGTAGACGTTACAGCACAGGTCGCCCAGAGTTACAACGCCGAATGGGGACCGGTATTTGGCAGGTACTGCCAAAAGAAACAGGCGGAGCACAGCGTCAGACCTGTCTCGTCAGCTCTGTTCAGCCACTGGTACGACAATTTCAAGGCAGATCGTGTACAGACGCTTAGAGCAGATTGGTCTATATGCTCGTAGACCTGTCAGATGCGTTCCACTTACTGCAACTCACTGTCGCCTGCGGTTAGCGTGGAGTAGAGAGCATGCATTGTGGACACCGCAACAGTGGGCTTGTGTGATGTTTTCCGACGAGTCTACCGGAACTTCGGAGAGCATTGCTTTTTGAGTGGTGTAATATCCCCCAAGATCAGATCGTTAATTTGATACTCAGCATGCCTAGGCGTTGTACGGACTGTATTGAATCGTCTGGGAGACATACAATATATTAACAATCATACCAACAATGTAATATTGGTTTTTTGTAAATAGGTTTTTTTTTGTAATTTGCTCCAGGGGGAAAAAATCGCTAATTTATTTAATAATATCAAACATATAGCATCTTTTTTTTGCTCTTTACCTTTTGTTTAATAAATAAACTTTACAAATAAGTCAAATTTGTTTTGCTTCTAACTCTTCCTTCGCCTGATTTTGCATTATCCTTAATTTATGGACATGAGTGTAATTAACTAATAGTCACATGAGTAAAACTATATTAACTGAAAGGTGTTTTACAGTTTTCGCTATGTGGGAAAAAAGTACGAACGATTTCCCTTAAGTTGCTTACGAATACTTTCTTTTTGAGATATGCAGCCGCCAGCCGTACTTAATTACCTTGAAACTTTTGATATATATTTCAAGTCTGGCTTATTTTACTCATTTTCATGCATTTCTGCTCTCTTCTCTTATTTTTATATTTATTTTGGTTCTGAATTCAAATAAGCCTACAATTCAGTGTATATTTTTTATAGATATGTTGGTATCAACGCAACTGACGTCAACATAACAAAAGGGAGATACTTTGTGGAAGGAAAAGTTCCTTTTGATATCGGCTTCGAGGTAAAGTATTTTAGTGTAATCTGATTTAGTGCATTAGTTGATTTGATTTATTGCACTAGGTTACAGACTGTCTAAAAAGAAGTTCTAGGCAGTTAAAACACACAAAATTAAACATTAATTTAAAAAGTATTTTTTAGAATGATTTCTCTTGCACAAATGGCAATATGCTACAATAAAAGACAGGCTTAAGCCGCTAGATAAATAATCACTTAATTATTTCCTTCAGCTAGGCTTTAAGAACAGGTTGATTCTTCGAGCTTAATAAGTATGCTATTATTGGCGATTGAAATTTACCGAAGTGCAGAAAATTTATTGAATATGGTAGTTTTTCTTATACTGCTAATTAATATCATTACAACATTTGATATGATTCCACAGTCAAACTTTTTCAAGTGAAGTCACAAAGAATCAGACGTAACCAGATGCAAGGTCTTACACATTTTAGCTGATCGTGGCCAGAGAATAAGACGTATTACATCTTCAAGCAAAATGCTTTCCAGTGACCAATTGTATAAAATCGCTGAGCAAATGTTACTTCTACCAGAGTTAGAGTCCCAGGGAACGAGATGGCTGCCTGAGTATATACATGGTTTTATCTCGTGTAACGTGACTACAAACTCGTGCATATTGCCGTTATCAAAATAATCCAGTAAACCCCAATCAATACAAAAAGGTTTTCCCCAGAAAGACCTTCATGAAGACAGCCCAAACAGATGGCCTTCGCGTAGTCTGCCGTATTCCGTCTAAATTAAACAGCCAACAAGTCTTTGAGCGGGGAATCCTTACATCAAGGATAACTCGACTAGGACCAAAATGAATAGATCTTTTTAATAACATATCCCTGGTTGAAACAGCGAAGAGTTAAAAATATAAATCTTTAAATGTAACTGGAAATCGTTGGAGAATTAAATTTTTACCCATATAACCCTAAAGATTGCATAAAATGTGAAAAATTTAATGTGATTATGAACATAACGTTTCACTGAATTTCTTGTTTTTGCAGTACTTAATAACGCAGCTGAAAATTATAAAAGATTTCTCGTTTTTAATTCTATTTCTGCAAAGCGTCAGCATACTTTTTATGTCTTGGAAAGTCATTTAATGCATGCATTACTGATGTTATTCGAAACTCAACTGTTGTATAAAGTGACAAATTTTGAAATTTACCAGTAACACATATGCACTAAACACCAAAAATGTTAACTTTTATATCATTAATGTTGCTCTTGTTTCACGCATGGATAATTTTTATTTAATTGAAAAGTGAAAAATTAAGTGTACTTCTTTTTCTTCTTTCATTTACACACGATATTTAATTTGGCCATTTCTTTTGCAGCAGTTTTTATTTCTGTGTAATTCATGTAATACTTTTCAAACTGCAAATTTTAAAGAGCTTGATAAACTCTCGTGACAAGACTTTTTTTTTTTTTTTTAAGAACTCCCATTCTCCCATCTGTATTTAATTTTATCAAAATGAAATTCAGACCAACATAATCTATCTGTAAACTTAAATTATGGTTGTTAAGCAAAACGTTAATGAAATCAAATTCTTTTTTAATAGTAATGATAAGTCACTTATTTGGCACCTGTGTTTTATTGGATAAATTATAACAGTGGCTTCATTGCTAATAATTACCACATATCAGCTTGTTTTTACCTTCTTAATAGTTAAAGAAAAATTGTTAATTCATACTGCCTAGTCTTTAGATAAGTTTCCATGTATCTGCCAAATTTTAGTTTTCTAGTTTTTTTCACTCAGAAAATTAGAAATATTCAGACTTGGGGTAAATACGGCAGTCATATATATTGACATGTGCCTGTGATTATTGGGAAAAGTTACCAAATTACAATAGTTACTTTGAAACGCCAGTTTGTGAAAATATAGAGCAAAGAAACAAAAGATTATTTTTCCTTTATGCAATATCTTCGAATCCCTCGAACGGGCTGGCTGCATGGGTGTTTTCGTGGTTTTCCCCATGTGTAACGTGTATACAAGCCAGTTTCCCTTAAAAAGTCTTCCACGAAGGCATCCCTCCCCTTAGGCAGATAGCCCTAGTGTGCTTTGCCATAATTAAATACACCACACCTTTTTTTATGCCATATCGTAACATTTCTCTCCATACGCACGAAATAATGTCAGTTGAAAGAACCAGGTATGAAAAAATTATTTAGCATAAGTTAAATTAATTGACATTAGAGACATAACTTCAAAAACGATGTAGTATTGCACTGGAGAAATTTAAGGAATTTTAAATGAAAGGCGTTCCATTATATTAACAACACAGAGAGCGAAAAATTCTAATGAAAATAATGCAAGCAGTCATTTTTGCCAATGAAATAGAGAATAGAAAGAGTGCTTCATTACATTAAGCGATAAAAAGAGTCATTTGTTCTTGTATTAATTTTCTTTTACTCTCATCGTATTTGAAAGACACATGATCGGTGCTTGACTTTATGTTGGTGTTAGTAAGTTTATTTGCTCTTTTAGTCTGGTAATTTCTTGAGATGCTTGGCAAAAATGCAGTAAAAATTAGGGTGTCTGGTTTTTACATAAGCTGGAACATTTTTTCATAAGTATTACCAGGGACTTCTACTATTTAGATGGAGGTAAATACAATGAAGTGCTAAATCTAAGTTTAATTATCAGTCGTATGTAAGGAGATTTATCAATATTGATATTATTACCTAGAAACTTTAGCGGGAAAAGAAAACTGAAATTATTGGGTTGTTGCAAATGAAATGGCCGATTTTAAGGACAACTAACAAAGCAGAAAATAAAGAGAATATTTGTTTAACAGAAAGTAATTTCCAGTAGTACCAATGCAATGTAGCCAATGTGGGGCAAGGTCATACTCATGCGGGTAAGATTACCTACCTAAACTGATGCGTCGTTGAAAAAGCATTTCTTGGATGGAGGGGGAGGGGGGAATGACTCACGTGACCGTAAAAAATGGTATTCTATTAGGGAAATATCAGAAGAATATGAATGATGAAGCACGATTTTGTATTCTAAATTGTTGATTTGTTGTACGACTGACATTGCTAGTTCGTATAATTTGTTTTTATTTTAATTAATGTATTATGTTTATTTGAATGCCTATGTATGTTAGATGTCTATTTGAATTTATTAACTAATAATGTCAGTGGCTATGTAAAATGTAAATTGAACAAACTCCTGATGGGACGTTTCTAAGGCACCCGGGAGTTGTGGGATCCGAACAGCATCCGATTAGTTTATATAAAAGCCCTCCAGGTGTCCGTACCTACTCTCACCTGTTAACTTGTACACTCTTTTGCAAAAAAATCGTAGCACCATGAAGGAAAGGGTTGTTTTTGATGAAATTGAATATGTGTATAGCTCATACATAGATAATTAAATGATTAAGAAAACAAGGTCATAGTACTTGTTCATGGCTCACAATCACCAATTGAGTGTCCAAATTAGTAGTTGGTCGAACCGCCCCTGGTGGCAATGCATGCTTGAATTCATCGAGGCAAGCAGTGGTAGAGGTTCCTAATATCATCCTGCGACACATTCTGCCAGGCATTCACTAGTTGTCACTCCAGATTTGCGATATTTTGTGGTGCCCTAATCTGGCGGCCTACCATGCCCCAGACTTGCTCGATTGGTGAAAGGTCTGGTGACCTTGCTTGCCAAGGAGGAGTATTAACCGCACGGAGATAGTCAAGAGATATGCGAGTGGTATGTGACTTGGCATTATCCTGTCGGAAAATGGCACCAGGATGACGTGCCATGAAGGTTAATGCAACCGGCTGCATGATAGTATCAACATATCGTTGAGCTGTTAAAGATGGACGGAGGATGACTAAAGATGACCTTCCGTCATAAGACATATAACTGAATAAGACGGCATACAGCCGTAACCCCTGGTGTGATAGCCCTACGCCATCACACCAGGGGTTGTGGCTGTATGCCTTTGTAAAACAGGCTGATTGGACCGCTGGCCCCGTTCTCTTCAGACACGAATATGGTGGTCATTGCTTCAAGAAAGAAGCGGGATTCATCGCTGTCCAAGAACAGTTCATAGTTTTGCAGTTCTTCAAGGCAACTTGCTACGCAGCCAAGCCGCAACTGTCCATGCAGCACAGGTTATTCTGAAAAACAATGTAGATCTAGCCAAGATCTACAAGAGTTTCATTCCATTAACAACAGGATCACAGGATTCATCAACTTCAAAACTTACCATTCCGTAGGCAATCAAGCAGCCATCGCCTACAATGGTCCACTCACGCCCCTGCTAATGCATAAAGGAGATTACACAGTTACTGTACAACTGGAAGGACCTTATGGTCAGATTGCCATCACCAGCGTGTATTTTCATCCTTCGCACGACATTGTCACTGCACTCCAGGAGCTAGAACAAGTCATGATGATTCCGACTAGGAATAAGATAATCGCTGGGGACTTTAACGCTGCTAGCCCTCTATGGGGTGCGCCAGAGGGAAACAGGCGTACTTGCCCTGTGCTTGACTTCATCACTTTTCATAACTTTGCAGTCGTCAATCCCACCGACAGCCCTCCTACATACTGGACTACCAGGGCTCAGGGGTTTCCTGATATCACTTTAGCCACCACTGGTTTACTTAATAATATTCACAATTGGAAGGTTAGCGAAACCTCCTCGTTCAGCGACCATCGCTACATTGAGTTCAGAATTGATTCGGAGCACCAATTTATAACAAAGAACAGATGGAAAACGAAGTACATAAACCTCAACAAATTTAAAGATGCACTCTCAACCCATATTGAAAGTCTCGTCGCACAATGTAACAATTGCGACATCGACGCCATGCATGAAGATCTTATGCAAACACTGCTCTCAGTGAGCGAAAAAGTCTTGAAAAGGAAAACATTACGCAGCCCCGGAATGCACTCCTTGGTGGAGCACCACGCTGACTGCTGAACGCAGCAAAGTCCGTGCCCTAAGGCGCAGAATGCAAGCGTGCAAGGATCCCTTAGAAAGAGAGACACACTCGCT